ATTGCACAAATCAAGGAAAATATCAACCAATTGCTTTAACATCCAACATCTGTAAAATAATGGGGAAAATGACAAATGACAGGTTAACATATTCTATAGAAAGTAAAGGATTTTTGTTGAAATATCAGAGTGGTTTTAGAAAAGGGAGAAATACTATGGATCCAGCTGTATGTTTAGAACACGAGCTTAGAAAGGCACAGATAAACCAACCAAAGTGTAGTGGCTGTGTTTTTTGATGTAGAGAAGGCGTATGATGTGATGTGGGGAGAAGGATTATTAATAAAACTTTGGAAATTAGGTATTAAAGGTTGGATATATAGATGGATTAAGGACTTTTTACTTTTAATTTGGAAGATTTATACAAGTAAGAATAGGAAAGAAATACTCAGGAAAAAGTGGTTATTGAAAATGGAACACCTCAAGGAAGCATAGTAAGCCCCTTACTGTTCTCCATAATGATAAATGATGTGTTTATGGGATTAGAGAATGAGATGGGGGTTTCACTTTTTGCAGATGACAGAGCAATTTGGAAGAGGGGAAGAAATCTGGAATTCATTGTAAGAAAACTGCAGGGTGCTATCATAAAAATAGAAGAACAGTCATATAAATGGGGATTTAAATTTTCACTTGACAAGACAAAGACAATGTTTTTTTTTGTTTTTTTTTTACCAGGAAACAAATTGGTAGTACAGTAAAACTAAAACTGTATAAGCAAGAATTGGAGAGACATTGAGGTTATGTACAGGTGCATTTAAAACAACTCCAACAGCAGCATTACAGGTGGAAATGGGAGATGGTTTTATAGGATGCAAAGGAAAGTTGGAGAGATGAGATATGCAGGAAGGAACAGAAGAGAGGAATCAATAATATCAAGACTCAGGTTTGGCCATACTTCGCTTAACTATACATTATTCAAAATAGGTAAACATAATACAGGGGAGTGTGATTACTGTGGCCAACTAGAAACAATAGAACATGTTATATTACATTGTCGGGGGTATGAAACAGATTGACAGAATTCTATTAACAATCTTAGAAACAATAAGGTACCATTTGATGTCATGGATATTCTGCAACAGAACTCAGGAAATAAGTGGTATGGGTTCATTTTTCATTTTCTAAGAATGAGTAATTTGATGGAGAGGATATAATTTCTTTTTTTTTCCTTTATTTTTTTTTAAGAGGGCGTAATAGTCATATTGAGCCACACTTCATTCCAGTTGATGGCGGTAATGCACCAATTCGTTGTTTGCCAACCGCCAATAAACAGTAGAAGAAGAAGAAAAAAAACGTGCATCGCGGAAGCACTTCCTGGATTACTCGACACACCCTTGGAAGCATCGGCACAGCGCGCAACATCACGAGCTCAAACGCCTCTAGACATTCAGCTTAAAACAGCACACTGGGCTAACCTTCAAGGACAGCTTGATTCCCACCCAACCAAAAATGTTCTGATAGAGTGCTGGGAACACAGTAAATCAAACTTTGTAAGTTTGGGATGGGTTGGTGATGCAAAGGCTAGAACTGCAGGATTGAGTCACTTAGTGTACAGTCCTTCTGTCCCAGTCTCTTCCATTCCTCCTTGGTTATTCCCTTTACTGAGTGGAGATTTGGCTTTCCAAAAGGAATTAAAGAATAAATTAATAAAACGTCCAGTGTGGAGCATAGTCCAACAATATTTAGTTCAGCATTATTCAAACTCAGTATTCATTTTCACAGATGGTTCCAAAGATCCCACTACAGGAAGTACAGGTGCAGCAGTATTTATTCCAGACCATAAAACATATATAAAGAAACGGTTATCAGATCATGTATCAATCTGCACCACAGAACTCATTGGAATATTAATAGCCCTGCAATGGATTTTGGACAACAAAACACCAAACACAGTTATAGCATCTGACAGCATCTCAGCACTGACAAGCATAGGGTCTGGAAGGTCAGTCAGAAGACACATCATTAATGAAATATTTCATATCATGTACAGAATGGAAACACAGAACATTACAACACACTTCATATGGGTTCCTGCACATGTTGGGGTCGAGGGTAATGAACAGGTAGACATTCTTGCCAAACAAGCTCTTAGAATAAAACAAACAGATTTTCATGTTCCATTATGTAAAACAGAAGCCAAAACAGTCATCAATACATATGCACAGTCAGTATGGCAAGAACACTGGGATAATGCAGACACTGGAAGGCATTTACACAACATACAAAAACAGGTCAGTGACAGGAGGACAGTCAGACTGAGATGTAGAGAGGAAAACATCATCACTCGCATGAGAATAGGTCATACAGGGCTCAATCACACACTCCACAGAATAGGCAAACACCCAACAGGGAAATGCTCACACTGTAACTTATTAGAGACAGTTGAACATGTACTCCTCAAGTGTACAAAATATACTTGCATGAGAAAGGACTTATTTCAGTATTTA